TATATTTTTAATATAGTTTCCTGCATTGTGGCTACTGAGTAGAATTTTTATGGTTATTTCTAGGATTTTCAAAATCTACAGCTTATGTGTCGAATCGGAGATGAGATGGTTTTGCTGAAGGTTTTGTGGTTACCCTGAGAATTCAGGTGAAATCAGTTAGTGGCCTGATCGTGGAGACCAAGTATGAACTGGGTTTGAACTTACCTGAAAAGCCACGGCCTTGAGAAACCCAGCGCTCCGTGCAGGGCCCACAGCGATAGGCTTAGCAGGGCAGTGACATCATCAGGGCCCACGGCGATAGGCTCAGCGGGACAGTGACGTCACAGCAGAGGCCTCCAATGCGCTCGGTTAAAACACCTGGGATGAGGGGCTGGGCGAGGAGGGACCTTCAGAGGGGGCCTTCGCGGTACAACTGACCCTGCCAACCTGGAAATGCAAAATCTGATACATTTTATGTATTCGTCGTTAATTTTAGTGGCTATTGCAGTGACGGCACAAAACTTTCGTGAGGACTTAGTGTAGAAATAGGCTCTTAGCAGAACAAAGTTGCCACCAATTGATGGATTAATGGCGACTTTGGGGGAAGGGAGGGAAAAGGGTAGGGAGGCAAATTCTGGAAAAGTGGTAGCTTCAAAATGTGTTTTTTGACAATTGTTTGAAATGGTGTATTTTGCAAAAAAAAAGTTTTAAAATTTCCTTAAAATATTCTTTGGTGCACAAAAGCATAGCACACATATTTGTAATAGTCCTTAGTAAGCTCTAGAAAAACAAACATGGAAGTGATTCATAAAAATAATACCTCTATCTCTGTATATATGGCAGCTAAATTTTTATGATCTAGCTCAAGAGAGAAAGATGTTCTCTGCCAAAGTTATCCCCAAATAGAATATCTACACTGCAAGGTGCTAAAAGAAAGCAGATGATTAAAAGTGGACGTGGACATTTTTTTCCTGAAAACTAGAGTGTGTATTCAGTGACTTAGGCTAAAAGCTAAATTTTTTATTCGTACAATGATTAAATGAGCCACCCGAGGTCACATCAGTGCTGCGTCATAGAGGTGTGCCCCATTCTCGCCTGAAATCATGTTATAAAAGACGCAAAGCTGCCCTGGCTGGTGTGGCTCAGTGGATTGAGCGCAGGCTGCCAACCAAAGGGTCGCAGGTTCGATTCCCAGTCAGGGCACATGCCTGGGCTGTGGGCCAGGTCCCCAGTAGGGGGCGCACAAAAGGCAACTACACACCAATGTTTCTCTCCCTCTCTTCCCCTCTCTCTAAAAATACATAAATAAAATCTTTTCAAAGGATACAAATCTAATAGTCATCCACTCAGCTAATAGCATCCCTCTTTCCTTTTCTCAACAGCTGTCTGTGCGGTCCCTGGGCCAGGGGACCCAGAGCTGAGCAGTGGGCACCGAGTCGGGAGGAGGACGCAAGCTCTGTCACTTAGAGAGGAAACCTGGGAGCCTGGCGACCGCTCCTGCAGATGTGGAGGTGAGCCTGGGCAGGGTGCTATCCGGGCAGCCCCCTTCCCTTCCTCACATGCCCCTCTCTGCAAGGGGACTGCAGTGTCTGGGAGAAGGTGCCTGGGGTTGCCAGCCCTGGAGGGGAAACTGGACCTTGCACGTGAGCTCCTTCCCCTCACTTCCTCGTGCCCTGTGAGCTGTGACCGGTGCTGCCGGGACCACATTCAACACCCCTAAATGCCGTGGTGTGAGAGTGTTGGCCCTCCAGGTTCACAGTGATGTTTGCTTTCTTTGTCTTGCATCCATGGCAGGTGTTGCTGGAAGCCTTGAAAGAGATAAGCCACTAGCCGCCCCCCCCCCCCCCAATGAGTCTAAGAGTGTTTCAGGGAAACGTACTGGGAAACCGGTGTCAGTGTGGTCGTTCAGAGGTAGGTCTGGTCCTTCCCGACACCCACACCTAAGGAAGGACTTCCCACACAGGGGGGTCATGCATGGTGCTGAAATGAAGCCTTCTGCACCATTTTCGATGAGGCCTGCGTTTGCTAAATCTGTGGTCTTCCAAACCAGTCCCTGGTTCACTTGCTTGGTGTCCTTTAACAATTCAGATTCTAAAAATAATAATAATAATAATAAAAATAAAAATTCAGATTCTAGCGTAGAAGTATGTATTTGTTTAATCCTTACCCAAGGGTATGTTTACTGATTTGAGAGAGAGAGAGAGAGGAGGGGGAATAGGTTAGGGAAGAGAGAGAGAGAGAGAGATCTATTGGCTGACTTCTGTATGCACCCTGACCGGGAATCAAATCTGCAACCTAGGTGTGACTGGGAATCGAACCCACAATCTTTTTAGTGTGAGGGATGACGCTCCAAGCAACTGAGCCACCTGGCCAGGGTTGTCCCAGACGTGCTGACCCAAGATCTCAGGGTGTGGGGGTGCAGAGCATGCCTTCAGCACACTTCCCAGGGGGGGTCTTATTCTCTGCTTTAAAAAGAAAAGGAACCGGGAAAAGAAACTAATAAGCTCAGTAAACTGCGAGGAAGAGCATAGCTAACACTTAGGGACGGGAAAGAGAGTGTTGTTGTGTGTGTGTTTTCTGCAAGTCGAGGGTGATTAAAATAAACCCTGGGAAAAGGGCCAGGATCATTGCAGAGGGTGGCTGCGATAATGGCAAAAGAGGAAAGCAATGCAAACTCAGGTATTGTTTGAACACACGGTGGCCCTATGTGCTGAATTAACCCCAGGCTTTCTGTACGACCAACTGGATTTGTGTGTGTGTGTGTGTGTGTGTGTGTGTGTGTGTGTGTGTTTGATTGTAAAATGTATTTCTTCGTGGAAATGAACATGCTCTGGAGCCCATATAGGTAGCTCACACATGGCTTTAAAAAAAATACAGGGAGCCCTTTGAACATTGAAAAGCTGCTTTTACAAGCCCAGCACCTTTGTCCTTACGCGATTTCACTTTCCGGACTATAAATTTCATGGTAGGACACACACCAAGATGCCATAAAGGAAATGTAGACGCGGACAAGACCCTTGCTTTCTCAGAGAGCAGCGGTTTGCTGAACTTGAACGTTCAGACCCCGTGGAAGGGTCTGCTAGGGCTTTTTGGAATGTGTTTATTAATTACCAAACTCGCGATGACGTAAAGGTCAGTCTCTATCACTAGGCATCACCGCTCTACTCATTGGCAAATGGCTTTACACACGTTCCCGCTGGGGGTCACTGAGATCAGCTTCTTTACACTCTTAGTCAATATTAAGTACCCTTAATGTGCTTCTAAAAGGCTTCCCTTTGCAATTCTGTGCACCTTTTTTAAACACACGATTGAGCTCAGGTGAGCTCACGCCTGATTTTCTTGAGTGGATCCTGGTCCTGCTCAACCCTGTGATAAGTGATGGAAGAACCGTGGACCAGTGCGGATCCTCGTGAGGTGGGGCTTTGGACGACGCTCCGGGGCACCGTCTCTCTTCCCAGAGAACCTTGTGAACAAGACAACTGTCATTGTTTAAACCATTAAGCAACACACCAAACCACAGGTCCTGTGGGCCTGGCTGATTTATCCGCCTGAAGACGTACACAGCGGTGATGTACGTGAAAAAGACTCATCGGCGTCACAGAATAACAGCAGATGGCTCCCCTTGTCATTCACCAGGACGGTCCCCAAAGCACCCAGTGGAAAGTGTGCAGCAGAATGGGGGCAAAGGGTGGGCACCTGTAACAGGACTGCAGGCAACGCCAAGAGGCGTGAAGCTGGGTGCCGCATCTCCTCGGAGCAGGCTGAGAGCTCGTGCGCCCTGGCTGCGCCTAGTCGCGTGCTCCCGGAGGTCACGGGGTGCGGGATGTAAGCGCCCCTCAGTATGAGACCGCGCAGCGGTCACTCAGCGGTTGCGCACCCGAGTACGGGTGCCCAGGAGTCCCCCCCGCCCCCCGACTCCGCGCGCTAGGTAAACATCGCCGAGCCCCATGCTCAGCTTCCAGGGTCCCACCTCTGCGCTTTGGGGGTCTCCACCCTGCCTGCCCCCGGAGCCAGGGAAGGACAGACTGGGGAACAGGGGGTGTGTTCTGGGTGCACGTGCCCCTTTCCCTGGCGTGGCCCTGTCCGGGGAGGGAGAGCAAGCGTGGGGACCAGGCTTGGGGAGAGATGACCACAGACGGTGCGTTAGCAGAGTCATTGCTAACGAAAGGTGAATTCGGGGGCTGGGGGCACAAATGGGGGGAAAGGCGGTGAGGAGAGATTACTGTCTTTAACGACTCACACCGGGAGGACAGTGCCTGCCAGAAAGAGGAACACCTGAGGAACCCGGGGGCGTGGGTCTCTTTAACCAAGGCGGCGGGGCTCTCCTCGGGTCGTTTCCCAGGGAGCCCTGAGGCGGGAAGGAGGGGGGAGACGAGATGGGAGCCAGCGGAGAAAGAGCACGTCAAACGTTCGCACCTGGCCGCTCTTCTCTGAGTTCGTTCTCAGTTCGGCTGCTGAGCCCTGTCCCCACTACTTGGGAAAGGAGAACTGCAAACGTGCCCGAGTGGGAGCGCCGCCTGCACCCGGGGAGCCACCCGGGTAGGAAGGCCTTCCGATCTGAAGCCCCCGGGGTCCGAGACCCTCCTTCCCGACGCAGCACCTGGCACCCCGGGCCCAGGATCGCTCACACCTGGCGTTGACCTGCGTGCTCGCGCCGGAAGGAGCGAGCGGGCGGTGGGGAAGCCTGCGTCGGAGACGGGCCACCGGGAGAGGGGCGCGCGGTGGAGACCGGGTCGCCTCGCCTTCCCAGGGAGCGCCGGGGCCCGCCGCCTCTAAGACCTGCCCACCGCTCTCGGCCCTGCCCCCCTGTCACTCACTTTCCTTCTAGCCAATGGCGCGGCCGCCTGTCACCCTCACCCCACCCCCGAGGCCGCGCCCGGAGGGAGGTCGGCCAGGAGCGCGGGGGCTGGAGTTGAATGATTGAACTTTCCAGCCGAGTTGCAGCGACCGCGAGGTCCCCAGCAGCGCGGCCCCGGAGCGGAGCTGGGAGCCTCCGCCAACGCCCGGCGCCCGCGCCCGCGCCCCCGACCCTCAACCATGGTGCCGGGGGCACCCGGCGCAGCCCTGACCCTCTGCCTCTGGCTGGCGACCGCCGGGGGCTGCGTGGCGGCCGGCCCCGGCGCCGCGGCAGCACGGAGGCTGGACGAGTCGGCCGGGAGCGTCCAGCGGGCCCGCTGCGCCTCCAGGTGCCTCAGCCTGCAGATCACGCGCATCTCCGCCTTCTTCCAGCACAACCAGGTACGCGAACGGCCGCGCGTCCGGGGCTCCGGGAGCCGCGGGCCACCCGGGGGGCGCACTAGGGCGCGCGCCTCCGGCCTCGGTGCCCAAACTTCTCTCTCCGTGCGACCGGCATGTCCGCTGTTCTTCCGCGTGGACTTTACAGTCCAGGCTCCCCCCTCCCGAAAGGAAAAAGAAGGCTGCAGCCTGTTTTCCGAACTCCCTTCTCCCCAGCGGCGAACTAGGGGAGAGAGTGCAGTCTTGTGGATTCCAAGGGTGGGTGTGTGCGTTCGGCAGGTTCCCGGGGACTGTGGCGCGCGGGACTCCGGCTGGTGGCGAGTCCCGGGAACTCTCAGGAACTCCCAGGCGCTCCGGGACCCTTGGCGCCGCGGGCACAGCGAGCAGGTGGGGAGGCGTGTCAGGCTATGGCTGGGGACCCGAGCGACGTGCCCAGCCCCGCAGGTGCCCGCGGGCCGATACTTTTGTCTGTGGAGCGAAGCTTTCCCATTAGGCGGGCCCGTAGCTCGCGGCCCACCCTCCGAACCCCGGGCAGGGCACTGCGTCGGGCCAAGTCCTGTGCTCCGGAATGTGTGTCAGGGCAGGGCGCGGTGGTGTCTGTGCGCGCCCCAGTTCGGAGCTCCACAGCGTCAAGGTCTTGGCAGTGAATAGCGTGGAGGGTAAAGGAAGAGATGGAGGGGATACGGGACCAGAGGGGTCGTGGGGTCAGCATCAGCCCACCCCCCATAGCTTGAGCACGCGTACATGCGTGTGTGTGGGCGAGGGTATATGTAAGACTTTGAGGGGAAAGCGTGCTTGGCGCCTGTGGAGGGGTCCATAGTGGCGGAGACCCCCCCCCCCCACTAGACCTGGGTAGGGACCCGGGGTGGGGAGGGGTGGGGGTGGGGGCGCAAGGGAGCCGAGAGCGCGCACTCTGAAATCCTCCTCGCCGGCACCTTGCTTCTCTCCTGACCTCGCCAACGCCCTTCGCTGCTCACCTGTTGCGGAGGCCAGGAGGAGATGGGGTGGGGGGCCCTCCTTGGGGGTGTCTAAGACGAGTCCTCGGCCCTTAAAGACGAGTCCTCCCCCACACTGCACTGGGGAGAGGCGGCTCCCAAGGGGCCTGGGAATGAAGCCGCGAGAGAGGAGGCGATTGTCCTGGCTGTGGAGTTTGGGACAAATCTCCAGGGCGGGGGTGGGCATGTCACCCTGGGATTTTAGGAGGTCGAAGCAGCTCCAGAAGTTTGTCCGAGTGTGCGCTTCTGTTTGTTCTCAAAGAAGCAGTGTGTAGCGGTTTCGGAGAATTTGGCAGCGCTCGGATCCTCCTGGTCTTGGCGGAGGGGAAACCCAGGGCTCCTCTCCCTCGCGGTGACATTCCGTGGGCGGCCTGGAGAGGGCGCCCGCCCAGCCACCTGGCCCCGTCGCCGCCCCTCCCGTCCCCCCACCGCCTGAGAAGATGCTACACTGTTTCAACAACAGAAAACACAGCCCACAGGGCGGCCCATTCCCGGGGAGAAAGAGTATCTTTTTCTTTCTTCCCACGTCTTTTGACTGAGTTGTCAGTTGCTGTGATTTATTTGTTTTACAGTTTCAGCGGCTGAAGCAGCAGTTCGAACCAAGCCAATTCCTGTGAAAGGCTTTTCTTGTGCTGGGTTGGCACGACTTCCCCGCCGAAGAAAAACTGCTGACAGAATACGCATTGCAGACAATCCTGATTACATTTTAATTAGCTGGGGTGAAGGAAGCTGCAAATTACTCAGTTAGGACTTAATAACGGCCGCTTTTTGCAATCAATGGCAGAGCCGCTCTCGGGGGCGCAGGCCTACCTTGCAGTGCCCCTCCGATGTATCCAAATGGCAGGGATAAAGGCTGCCTTGCGATCTGGAAAGACAGCAGCACCGGGGTCCTTGTTCAGCAGCGAGCTTTCCTTTCCGTCGCCCCCGCTTTGTAAGTAATTGGGAGGACCGGCGGGGGAGCATCTCTGGTGTTTATCAGTGGGCTGCGGGACGCTGTGGGGAGGTCCCCTTCCAGCAGGGTCGCCCTGCCCCACTCGCTAGGGCTGCCCAGCCCAGGCCCAGGCTGTTTCTGGAGCAGCTGCCTGTTTCCACCTTCGCAACGGCCGCGAGGCCAGTCGAGGGTATGCTCTCCTGTGGGGAAGCTGCCGTGGCTGAGGCTGGTGAGGACCCAGCCCGTGTACGCCTACATGGAGAGATTCAGGCAGCGCCGGCTGAGCGTGAGGGGCCCACCTGCCAGCCCTGAGGCAGCTACAGGTCTGCAGGCAGGCGGGGCGCACCGGCTGCCTTCCTGTCCACAGAGTTGGCTTGGCTTCGCCTGCTAAGCAGGGGGCTGCCAGCCACGCCCGAAAGCACAGAGGGCTGAGACTGATGCGCACTGCTGGGAACAGTGACAGCAGATCCCTGGGTTATTGGGCACAGCCCCTGGGCCTGGAGGTGCTTAGAATTTCACACCCAGAGGGACACAGCTTCTGAAGGCCCCGGCTCCTTGCTACATGCTCCTATCACGTGCCAACAGAAAGAGGCCACGGTAGCACCTTGCAGGCCATCAGCAAGCACAGGCAGGGGGCAGGCCACGGTGGGAGGGTCTCACACATCTCACGCGCATGTGGTTGAAATGCTGCCAGCAGACTGGGTGGGGAGGACATGCTGCTCCAGGGAGTGAGGCCTTGGTCTGCGCTGCGGGCCTGGAGCAGGGACGGGGGTGGGGGGCCCAGTCAGGTGCTCTGCGCCAGCCTCTGCCCCTTGCAGAGGGACGGTGTAGACAGGTAGGTCGCCTCCCGACCGGCCAGCTTCTTCTGAGTCCCACGTGAGCTCACGGCTGCCCAGCGATCCTGAACATCTCGGGTGACCCAGGGCTGACACCAACAGGAAGATTCTTAAGGACCAGCTGCTGCTCTGGGAGTGATGAGTGGTGTCTCAGTGCGCCCAACAAATGCAGGAGGCAGGCCCGTGTGTATCCTGGGGTCGCTGACCAGGGAACAAGGTGCTGAGAAGGCAGGCTGGTCACGCAGGGAATCGTGTGGCCAGGTTCCCAGGGAGGGCGGCTGGGGCTGCGGCTGGGGCTTGTTCTGACGTCTGGGATTTGATTGGTTAGTGGGCTAGTTCCCTGCAGGCCTGCCTGCCTGTGTTGTTAGTGAGCTTTTACTGTTGCCCATGCTGCAGGCACACATCAGAGGGGCACCTGCTCTGCCCGGGCTGGACTTCCTGGCTCTTCTCTGGGGGGTCTGTGCCATGTCTGGAAGGACAAGCAGATGCCAGGCTCCGCAGGCTGGGAAGGAGGACCCCTCAAAGTGCCCGATGTGGGGTGTGTCCAGTCGGTGCCCGAGAAGGGGATCTCGTGGGCATGAGGACAGCCCACTGAACTGTGGGACGTTCAGGGCATGCATTCTCTACCTCCACCCCAGTTCTTGCACCCACGCCCAGGTCCCTGTGGGGGCAGAAGGTGACAAGGGTTGGGGCAGTGTGTGAGAGGGAGTAGCTGCGTGAGCATCGGAGTGTCAGGGGGCGGGGAGCCAAGAACTTTCCCTGGGGGGGCGGGGCCGGCAGCGTCACACGTGGTGTGCAGCTCTACATATCCAGACGGGCTCCCACGCTCCATCAGACTTTCCCCAGAAAAAGCGCGAACTCACAGGTACCAATGTTAGGAATCTCAACTTGGTGGTCAGGGCCTAGAGCGCAAACTCCTAGGCGCAGGAGCCCTTGTGCCCGTGGCCGTTCGCAGCCCCGCGAAGCGGACGGCGGGGCACCTGCGCGCGTCAATCGCGAGAAGAGCTGGTGGGAGAGGTTGGACCCGCTGGACTCAGGGTCCCACGCCGCGCCGCCCGTCCTGTGCCAGCCTGGCGGACTGACCTGGGCTCCCGTGCGCAGCAGCCCCAAGGAACTCTTGAGAGATTAGCGAACAGGGGGAAGAGGGAGATTGTGGCTGGAAAAAAAGGCCCTGTGTCTTTTTTTTTTCGGTGACTCTGGTTCCGCCTGGGCGTTGACATCCTCTCTTGGGGTCCGTTGGGACATTCACAGGGGAGACCTTTCGCGGTGGCAACAAGGAGCTGAGTCCTGGGGCTAAGCGCTGTGGAGCACGCCGGACCTTCCGCCTGTGTTTTCGGAGAGGAGGCGTAGACGGGGGTCTGGGGGCCGGTCCCAGGGCAGCGGGGGCTGGGAAAGGATGCGCCCCGGTTCTGCCAGCAGCGGGGAAGAAGAGGGCGGGCTCTTGCTGGGAGATAAGCAGCAGGTTGCTGGCAGCCTCCGTTGGCCCCTGGGCTTGTAGACTTTTGTCAGTGTTAAGAGAGTCTTGCTTTAATGGGACGTAATTCACCCTACACGGCCACCTCGGATAGGCTGGCTGAGGGAGCTGGTGAGAGATCAGAGGCGGGCTTTCCTTCCCAGTCACCGAGGCTGTTTGTTTTGGCAAAGGAGAGACCGAAGCTGGTGATTAGCAGCAGCCTGTCCTGGGAGAAAAAGTAAACAAACAATGAAGACATCTAAACCCCTGGCCAGCCACGCCTCAGCCCCAGGCCTTGGGAGGCTTGGAGGAGGGGCTGGCGGTTCTCCACTGGGTGTGTCCTTTCAGGTTGTGGGCCCCGGAGGCCAGGTGGTCAGAGGCTGAGTGGGACAGACTGGCCCCTGGGGTCTCGGGATTCACTGGCTGTGTTTCTCAGAATTCCTGAACCTGACCCAATCTGGCACCTCATGGCCCATTTTCCTGTTTGTAACCCAGCTTCTTCCTGAATGTGATTTAAAACACGGTCTTCACCGCGACTCTCGGAGAACGTTTTAAACATGCATTTGAAAGCACTTGTGGGCTTCCTCGTGGTCTGCAGCACGTCATTCGAGCAGAAATACTTGCTATAGATTTCTGTTTGTATATTTTCACAGAGTGGAGACATTCACAGATGTCCTTATATGTGAACACAGGGGACAGGTGCGTGTTTGGAGGCCTACATCGAGGAGCTAACGTTCTCCACAGGGTGCTCACGCTTTAGAACACGCCACCCTCCATGAGAAGGGCGC